TGCTGCTGCTGCCGCTGCCGTTGCCGATGCCTTTCGCGCGACTTGTGGTAATGCTGCTGATGCATCTACTTCCCTGTCAGGCTCCTCAAGCGACCATGGGCTGTGGTCCCAGCGATAGACAGCATGCTGCAAGACTGGGTCACTGGCGCCGATGCAATCACGCAGCGCATCCAGAATTGCACAGCCTTGGCCGATGTCTACAGAACCTACTGCCTGCAGCTGGAAGGTTCCGAAGTGAATGTGGCTCGCGTGAAGAATCTGCGCGCAAGCAAGGACAGGTTTGCATCCTATCAGCAGCCACTCTCAAGGGCTGTTTTGACGTTTGATGCCCTCCTCAACACCCTGGTATGGGCCATCACCAATCGTGACGGGGCCGAGAAGCAGCGGTACATGCGGTCGTTGAGGAGCCTGGACGAGGAAGTTCTGGTGTTGATGGCGATGTGCGCTGACATTGCAGACGAAAATCTGCGTGTGCTCCGCGTTATCGACAGTGAGGAGTTCGATGCAGCAGAATTTCCTCAGGAGCTGACCTTCCTGGTGGACCGCCTTCATTTCCTCATCAACAGAGGTGGCGTCCTCGAGACCGGGTACACGGCCTACATGCTTGCGTACTTGGAGCAGCCACGAGGCATCTTGCTCGGGAATGATGCTCGCACCATCGGCGGTGCCGCACGGATCACACCCGCGCTTCTGCAGAGATGCTGTGAGATCATGCAGACGTACGTTGTCCTTGCCCTTCAGACTATGCACGCTGAGTTCCCAGACTACGATCTCATGCAAGCCTTCGGCGTTTTTAACCTGCGCCCGGCATGCCGAGGTGACAACTTGGATCATGTTGTTTGGACGGAGCGCAAGCAGAAAGATCTGGACAGGCTGTCAATGTACGCCGGGCAGGACCCTGGCAGGGTGCGAGCGCAGTTCTGCGATTTGGAGCCAGCTGCCCGGTATGAGCAAGCCCAGACAGGATGCTCCAGCTTCGAGGCCTGGAAGACGGTTGCTCTACGCTTCCAGTGTGGCAAAAAAAGTGTGTGCCAACGCCATCCAGTGGATGCACTTTTCCCTGTGCTCATCAAATACGGGGCGTACAGTGGGGCCACAACCTCTGGAGTGGAGCAGTCTTTTTCAGTGCTCCAACGCTTCCAGCCTGCAGAAAGGAAGCACATGCTGGATGCCACAGCTCTGGATGAGGCGTGCCTGATGCTCCTCCCAGATGACCCCGTCCTGCACGCTCGTCTCTGTGACCGTGCTGTCCAGATATGGGCAGACCACCTGGGCGCGCCCCGCGAACGTAGCAAAGTTCGCGTGGACAAAGGCATTCGCAGAGGGCCCATGGTTGCTGCCCCTGGCGAGCCGATGACGGAGACTGCATTCATCAAGAAGAGGCGCAGGGACGTTGCTGGAAAGGCCACCTCCGCAACTGCATCTGAGGCCATTGAGGCCGCTCGTCTCAGCAGCTACTCAGACGGCCGCATGGAAATCCTTGAAGAAGAAGGTTTTCAGTGCTCCAAGGGCTATACCAACAAGATTCAAGCGTACCTGTCCAACACCTTGCTGGAGAGCGAGATTGACGAGGATTTGCGTGAGGCCGCTACCGCGGCCAAGCTGCATCAAGAGGACCTGGACAAGGAGCGGACCAGGAAAGAAGACCGTTTGGCAGAGAAGTTGCGACCCAAACACATCAATATGCAGTCACAACGCTTCCATTTGCAAGACGATGCGTGGATCGCTGACCCGAAGATTGCCCGCCGCAACTGCGTGGCTGACCTAGTGGATGCACGGGCGTTCGTTGTCAGGGATCCGGGCAACCCGCCGGACGGGTCACTTTGGGCTTGCATGCTTCTGGGTGGTGTGCTCTGCGATTTGGCATATTGTGCCTTGGCTGTCTTCAGACTGTAACTTTCTAGATTTCCTATTGTATGTCAAAAGGAGGCTAGAAGTTTAATTTCTAGGGATTTAGGGTTTAGGGTTGCAGGCCTTAAGGTTGAAGCTAAGGTGTTTCACGGGGACGTTCCGGCATCGCTTTCATTTTCGAAGCAGCTAGCCATGTCCAGAGGACTGTGTTCCTGTCCGATGCCTTTCGGCACGAAGAGCCTGAGCTGTTCAACATTGTGAAGGATGTGGCAGCTTTGCCGCAGTCCAAGTGGAGGGTCATCCGCGATATGGAACTGTTTGTGGATAGGACCCTCGCCTGTAGGGCAAGAA